AAATTTGGTCAGAATTTTTTTGACCGTGACTGAGAATTGCCCTTTAGTATTAAAGGGACAACAACGTTGTTGTTGATTCGATGAATAGGCTGTCTGATCCAATAGGAGGAAACGTTGATGTTACACAACTGATCTTTCACCCGGTGTGCAACATATAAAAAAAAATTACTTTACAATTCCGCTAGTACATGTTATAATTATAACATGTACTAGCAGTATTGTAAAATATTTTTTTTATATGTTGCACACCGGGTGAAGGATTAGTTGTGTAATATCAACGTTTCCTCCTGTTTACGAATCCAGCTAGAAATCCGGGTTTTCAAAGTCGCTCATCTGCAGTTCGATTGACTGTCTATAAGCATTGGCTTGGATTAAATTGCTCAGGATCAGCTTGGTTAATTAGCCGTAACAGTAAGCAATTAAAATCACATGAATTGCTGTAATGAGCATATACAAGACTCAGGTCTGCTACACAATAGGTCTGATGTATTACAGTATAAGTTTTTGAGAAAATTCGTATTTATTGGTGGATCTGGTGGATCTAATATTTTTTACGGTTAGTGCAAATTACAAAATTGTTAAACGTTATGAATATTTCTATTTTTTTCCTATCTCAATTTATCATTTTAATTAGTAATGATAAAGAACATTGGGTAAGCATTGGTTATGATGTAATGTTTACCCAATATTCTTTATCGGGTATAAATAAGTCCAATTTTCACATGCTTGAGTAAGATAATGTCAACGACAAAATATCACGGAGCACAAGAAATTCGAAAAATATACGAGATTTCGTCTAAAACATTAAGACGGTGAAACAACCAAGTAAAAATATCAAGCATTAGAACGTCTGGTGGAAAAAGGCTGTATTCAGTAACAGACTTGAAAAAAATATTTCAAGAAAAAGTAAATGCAAGAGTTAGCTCAGATAAACAGAAAGAAGATCTCAACAGACAATGTGAACACCTCATGGAGAAATATCCAGATCACGAACTCATCAAGGATATCAGATCAGGTCTCAATTGAAAGCATAAAGGTTTCACATCCATTCTGGAATGATCATTCCAAGAAGATATTGATGAAGTTGTGGTTGCTAGGAAGGATTGATTCTGTCAGTTTGCTTACGAATTTGTTGAATGGATCTTTAGTAAGAATGATACAAAGATCCTGGTACTTGGTTTGGATGTCAACATTGATAATACAGAATTTGAAGAGCTTGCCGAGGATCTATTATTTATTGTTACTATCTTCATGACAAGATACAATAGACTCAGATCAGCTCAGAACAGGAAACGATAAAGAGAAACTAAAAACTCGAAAGATACGAATGTACCCAACATTAAAAGAAAGAGAAAAATTAAGAAAATGAATAGAAACTGTGAGGTGAACCTACAACAAAGTTCTTAAAATATTACAAGATGATAAAATAAGTAATATAAATATTATAAGGAAGCATTACTTGAATGATGAATATTTTGCAAATAAAGAATTGTCATAGGTGAAAGAAACACCAAGAGAAGTGAGATCATATGTAATCAGGTAGCTGATGAGCATATTTAAGACGAGCAAGAAATTATATAGTAATAATTTTAAAATGAAATACAAAACAAAAAAAGATCATTCGCAAACATCTCAATACTGGTGAGAGATTGAAACAAAAATAGAGGAGAATATACATTCCTTAAGACCGTGATCATGTCAGAAAGACTACCAGAAATAAATCATACTGTGAACGTAACTATAAACAGATTAGAACATTTTTACATGTGTGTATCTATTCCTTTAGATATTAACAATAATCAAGATAATATCAAAAGAAAAGTGATATCACTTGATCCAGATATACATATCTTTATAACTAGTTATGATCCTAATGGTCAAGTTGTAGATAGTGATTTGAACCAGCTAGGCCTTAATCGGGTAACTAACTTGAACCAAACAAATTCGGATGAACCAATTAAATAAATGTTTATCTGGTTAATCTGACATAATCAGCTAACTCGATATAATCGGTTAACTCGATATGGGGGTTCGCTAAAGCCTTGTACCCATATGACTTTTTTTTATATAGATCACCAATCAAAATCATGAGATTTTGTTTACACAGATCAGCCCGAAGAAATCAAAAAATCAAAACGGCAGTCTAAACCTGTCTTGGTACATTAATAAAAAATGTCAGGAAGGAAATTTTACCTATATACCTGCCCTTACCCTAACAATAAAACTAACCCTAACCATAATTACAATTAAAACTTCGAAAGTCACATGGGTACAAGGCTTTAGCGAACTTCTCGATATGATCTGTTGATCTGATATAATCAGTTGACCCGTATTCAATTTTTGTGACTTAGAAATACATACATATGTATGTATAGATTTTTTTATAGTTCATTAAGCTATTTTTTTTTTGTCTGCTTCAAATGAAGAATAATTTTTAATAAGTTCAACAAACAACCTCTAGTTAACTCAGTTAATTAGATTAAACTTAGCTAATTTGATTAACCGATTGGCTTGGTTGACCTGATTAGCTTGGTTAACTGGATAACTTGGTTGACCCGGTTAATTCGGTTGACCCAGTTAATTTGGTTGACTCAGCTAATTTAGTTGGCCTGGGTCAACTGATCTAACCGAAATAATATGGTTGAGCCAATTGTATTCAGGTAAGTTAACTCGGTTAACCAATTTGGATTTTATTACCTGGTTCAAATCATTAGTTGTAGAGTGGGGTAACGGTGATCTTAACAAGATATTTAGATTATCAAAGAAATATGATAAATTACAAAAAGACAAGGATCTGGTGATCGGATGAAAAAATAAACATAAAAGATACAAATTAAAGATAAAGATGTATAAGATCATTGTCAGAATTAGGAATTTGATCAATGAATGTTATCATCAACTTGCTTGTTGGTTATGTGAGAATTACGAAATCATATTAATACCAATATTCGAAACCTCGAACATGGTTCTTAAAAACAAGAGAAAGATCAGATCGAAGACCGCAAGGATGATGCTGACATGGTCACATTATAGATTTAGGATGTTTTTACACCACAAAGCTAGGGAATTTGTGAGTTGTAAAGTTACCGAATGTACCGAAGAATACTCATCTAAAACATGCGGTAACTGCAGATCGATCAATAAAAAACTTGGTGGATCCAAGATTTTTAGATGTGATTCTTGTAGTTTAGAAATAGATAGAGACATGAACGGTGCCAGAAATATCTTACTCAAACGTATCACAGAGGGTCAGGTTAATCCTGACTTTGGGACTTGAACCTGTATGGGATCCGATCTGAATAGTAAAGACTAACTTTATTTATGATTTTTGGATTCAATTTCAAGGGGGTTAAGGAATCAAGTATGAAAAAAATTGAATTAATTTTTTAATTTATAATTCATTAATAATTAACCGTTCTGATTAATTATATTAATTATTATAATCGATCATATAAAAAGGACACGGTAATTTCTTGGGGTGTCGACCTATCATTAATGGTATCGCTCAACCTTATGTTTGGCAAACATATTTTGAAGTTCAGCAACGCATTGCAAATTTTGGTTCAGGTCTATGCAAATTTGGCTTGACAATTCAAGCGTTTCTTGGATTCTTTCCATTAATACTCCAGAATATGTGAATTATTATTTTTATTTTATATATATATTTATATATATATATATATATTTTTCCTTATAGACACTTTTCACTTTTTTCCTAACAAATAATCTTTATTCATTGTTAGAAATTAGGTTATTGCTGAACTTGCTTGCAATCAATATAATTTTGTGACTGTACCACTTTATAATACATTGGGTGCAGAAGCAATTGAATTTATTATTAATCAGACTGGGATAGAATTTGTATTAACCATTGTCAATAAGGTCGAACTCTCTTAGATATGAAAGAGGCTTTGCCAACTCTTAAAACTCTTATCATCTCTGATGATGCTGATCAAGATCTTATAGATTACGCTAATGAATTAAATATTCAAATTGTCAATTTCGAGACTATAGAAAATGACGGGGCAATTCATCAGGCTGAGGAAATCAACCCTAAACCTGATGATATTGCTACTATTTGCTATACTAGTAGTACCACTGGAATGCCCAAATGTGTAGTTCTGACCCACAAAAATTTCATGTCAATAGTTTGTAGTTTAATATTTCTTGGAAGCCAAAGAAAGATGACCAAAATTACCAAAGATGATGTACATATCTCGTATTTACCATTGGCTCATATATTTAAAAGAGCAAATGAAGTTACTATGATTTACATGCTGCTATCGGGTTTTATCAAAGTGATATTTTGAAATTACTGGATGATATCACTGAATTGAAACCGACTATATTTATTTCTGTACCAAGATTACTTAATAGGATATATGATAAAGTGTTGGCTTCAATTAGTGGAAAAGGTAGCATGACTCAATGGACTTTTACAACTGCGTACAATGCTAAGAAGGTCGGTCTATCAAAAGGTCAAGTTGATCACCGGATGTGGGATAAATTAGTTTTTGTCCCTATCCGATTAAAACTAGGTGGTAGAATTAAAGTAATTTTATCCGCTTTTGCGCCGATTTCTCCTGATGTGATGGATTTTTTGAGAATTTATTTTTCTGCTGATGTTTATGAAGGATATGGTCAAACTGAAATGCTGGTGCTTTGACAATCGTGCGTATTACTTCCTATATTACTTTAGGGTTGGTAAAATTTTACTGGTAATCTGTCGAATAGTTTTTGATTTTGCCAATCTGATCAAATTGATTTGGTCTATTAGTTAAATTTATTTAGTTATACACATATAATTATAATGGAACTGGGTGAAACCTGCATTGTAAATTAGTAAAATCCGCGTTTTTTATTATGCAAAGGCGAATTTCACCCTCACATGATCTACGTAGCGGATTTTACTAATTCACAGCGCGGGTTTCACGGATTTACTAATTTCCCCCGCCACTTCTGATTGGCTGTACTAATTATTCAATTATTGGAGTATTTATAGACTAGAATTAATATTTTGGCATTATATTATAATTATTATCCCCTGGTCAACCCCATCTATGTAACTTTTTTCATGTACTTATTTCTACTGGACATATATCTATTTAATT